ATACAGCGATACAGGAACCGGAACCTGGAACCGGAACCTGGAACCGAGAATAATTTATGCAAATTAGAGCATCTTGCACCACAGGAGATATACATGATAATAATTTACAGGGGGGGGGGGACGCAATTCAAAGATAGTACAATATATTACAAGTGAAGCATTTTGATTTTCTAAACGAAAAGAATGAACATCGTTGTAACACTATATTACAAAGTAAAACATGTTTCGTAATTGCGCGGCGATTCTTTTTGTCTGGTTTGATATAACTGCATGTGACACACTGGTTTATTTAGCCGCCGCACTTGAAATGCCAGCAGACAGAGAAAGAAACCACGGCACGCAAAGCAGATTGCGCTTAATTCAACAGTAATTGTGCTCTAAAGTATATTTATTAGAGTGTACTCAGTGTATAGTGTAGTATATGATGCAATCCTCTAAATGTGCTATATATGCTGCGAATATTGCGAATATACTGCATACTAAAAATATCCGCTTAAATATCAATTACAAGTTATGAAGGTAACTTCAATATTATGTCAAAAATACATTTAATTAATAATGAAAAATTAAAATGTGTGATTGAAATTCAGCGTCGAAAACAAATAGGGATGTTAGGATGTACAATGCAACTTCAATGGACAATGCCGATAATATGTTGAATGGCCCCCATGGCCATGTCGAAGTTTAGTTGCTTTAACAGCTTCTATTTCAGATTTTACTTTAATGTCGGAAACGGTACTTGATATCTGATATATTTAAACCCAGATAATACAAAAATGTGACAAAAAGTTTATCCAGTTAGTTGTGAGTAGCCTGTTACATAAAGTGGTGTACACATTATACGTATTCAGTGTTGAAGGCATAACAACAATATAGAGTCTTTTTATTATATTTTGTTATACTTATTGCCTTCAGTTGGAAATTATATATATATAATCAGTTTTTGATGAATCATGTTCAGCAAGACTAAGAGATCATACGCAGAAGTTGCTAACGGAGTTGAAAGGTTATACTAAAACTAAAATGCGTCGGTATATAATTGTATAAATGAATATTTAGTTCATGTTTTTCCCTTCATAATTCACCCTTTGCGATGTTAATAAACCAGGAAAGGGGAAAACCTGACTCGACTCAGAGGTATAATTAGGGTGAGAGACACGGTAAGTTAATTTTGACGCTGAATTTCAATCAGACATTTCCATTTTTCATTAGTAAATGTAATAAATTAAAATTGATTAATTTAATTAAATGACATTGAAGTTACGACATGCAACTTCATTTATGTTTGTGATTGATGTTCCTGTGACGCAGGCTATAGATGTTCAAGCACTGAGATATTTTTAGTATGCAGCATATATTCACAATATTGCAGCGTATATAGCACATTCAATGTTGGATTGCATCATACACTACACTACACTCAAATTTAATACTTTAGAGCACAATTGCTGCTGAATTCAGCGCAATCTGCTTTGTGTGCCGTGGTTTCTTTCTTTGTCTGCTGGCATTTCATAGTCAAGTGCGGCGGCTAAATAAACTAAGTGCGTCACATGCAGTTATATCAAAACAGACAAAAAGAGTCGCCGCGCAATTACGAAACATGTTTTACTTTGTAATATAGTGTTACAACGATGTTCATTCCTTTTGTTTAGAAAATCAAAATGCTTCACTTGTAATATATTGTACTATCTTTGAATTGCGTCCCCCCCCCCCTGTAAATTATTATCATATATATCTGATGTGGTGCAAAATGCTCTAATTTGCATAAATTATGCACGGTTCCAGGTTCCGGTTCCAGGTTCCGGTTCCTGTATCGTTGTATCGCTGTATCGCTTTTTAGTAGTAGCCGCCAAATTTGAACATTAAGCCAAATTTGAACATTAAGCCAAATTTGAACATTGAACAATAATACTTCACACCGATCTCAAATGACAGATAAGGAAGGATGATATAATGATTAAGATTCTCCCATAACGCAGTGTGAAAATATTCCTCAGAAGTGCGTAAAAACAATGGAAAATTTGGCCGCACATTAAGCCAAATTTGAACATTAAGCTAAATTTGAACATTGAACAATAATACTTCACACCGATCTCAAATGACAGATAAGGAAGATCATGATATAATGATTCCTTAAGGCTCGTTCGTTTACACTTGCAATTTTTGCTGCGATTTTAGGTGCGATTTTCTTCTTCTGATGGATGTGAACGAGTGGATAAGTTATGAATGTTCAGATGAGGTACATGTACTCCGAACATTCGTAACTCATCTACTCGTTCACATGCATTAGAAGGAGAAAATCGCACCAGAATGGACCATTTGCATTATAGACTAAATTTTGATCTTGACAAAAATTTCATCACAGCTTGGAAAAGCATCACACAATTAGTAATATTCCAAAGTTTCGTTGCGGATAATATAGCCTTGCGAAATTTGCAATTTTCAGTCATTTTGTATTACAAACGGGAAATTGATGCCCCAACACCCGATTGGGCTGTCAATTTCCCGTTTGTAATACAAAATGACTGAAAAACGGCAAACTTCGCATGGCTATATTATCCGCATTTTATAACATTTCGGAACGAAACTTTGGAATATTACTAATTTTGTGATGCTCTTTCAAGCTGTGATGAAATTTTTGTCTATAGATCAAAATTTAGTCTATAATGCAAATGGTCCATTCGCAGCAAAAATTGCAAGTGTAAACAGGCCTTAATAAGATTCTCCCATAACGTATGTGTGAAAATGTTCCTCAGTCTTCTTGCTAAGGCGAATGTTCCTCAGGATCCCGAGATCCCACTTTTTTGCACGTCTTGTCAACGCTATGACGAAAGTCATAGGTGTTTCTGGGCGCTCCGGTTTCCTCCCAGGGAAAGCTGACAGGGTGGGTTAGGATAATTGTTGTAAAGATAAATAGATTACACGCGTAAAAAAACGAACAACCTGTTCCCGGATGATATCGACAGGCTTGAACAAGGTTGTGCTGCACTCTAGTTGTCAACAACAGGTTGTCGACAATGTTGCTACAGAATTGTTCAGTTGTGACAATACGGTAACAACATTGTTGACAACTTGTTCTCAGGGTGCAGCATAACCTTGTTCAAGCCTGTCGATATCATCCGGGAACAGGTTGTTCGTTTTTACGCATGTACTCTATTTATCTTTACAACAATTATCCTAAAGGCTGCATTCCAGTTACGCGTTTTTCATACGTGCGTACACGCACGTAAAAGTTCAATTAACTAATTCAGTTTTGTGTATGATTTAATGTGTATTTGTTAAGGTTATTTGCACTTATATGAAATTTTAAGCGATTTCAACTTTTACGTGCGTGTACGCACGTATGAAAAACGCGTAACTGGAATGCAGCCTTAACCCACCCGTTTTTATGCGTCAGGCTAAGTAGGTAATCTAAGTAAGCGTATAATACTGATCCCAAACTGTCTTTGCCAGTGTAGGTTGTGCCAATAAAGTGAACAAGCTTTCGTTGGGAATTTCGACGTTTCTAGTGAAGGCCCTTTGTCTTTGAGTAACTCCAGACGGAGGGCCTTCGCTCGAAATGTCGAAATTCTCCTTATATATTCTCAGGTAGTTGCATCCCTATCAACGAAAGCTTGTTCTTATAATACTTCATGTAATCGGTCACTGAAAAGACCCGATTGGGAGTGAGCTAAATAATGTATGTTTGTTTGCATGTTTGTATTCGCAGATTAAATTTGCGAAAAAATTATAGCCTTTTTCTTTGAACGGATATTTACAGTATCAGTGCTAGATCTTGCAGGCTTTGGGATTTTTAAAAACACCGCCGCAGTTTTTAACTGAAGATAATCCCTCGACGTTTTGGTTCCTACCAACTTTCACCCATGCTCTTCTCATTTCTGATGTCTATCTTCAAAATGTTAAAGTGCGCGCATGAAAGGTGTACAGTATAAAATATTTCCTGTTCATTGTTTTATAGAGTGCTGCAAGGCAAGTGATAGCCAAACATATTGTAAATACACACAGTATTCCAGTGGTATCCAATGTAAGATGTGTGAGACTATATAGAAGAAAGTATGGCTTTGGTTTGAACTTCAAATATTTGTACAGAACTAACACTATTATGGAAGAGGTAAGCGTTTTACAAAGCCATTATAATGGGTATTTCGTTGGATAGCAATTAACATTCGCTACTGTGGTCTATCCTGTGTGAAAAGCCATACCAAAAAGGTTTATAATGTATTCCAGTCGTTTATAGACCATTTGCAGAATTTATTTTCTTTGTGTTTTACGAATGAATCATTAACGCGCTTAAGAAGTTAATATGTTTTTACTGAATTGTGTAGCGGGAAAAGAGAGGATATGAAAACTTGGATGAAGAAGATGAGGATGATATAAGTGGCAGTGATGCTGACGTCAGTGGTGAAAGCAGTGATACTTCAAGTAATAAAGATGAAGATGATACTGTGGAAAAAATGTTTATAAAATGCCTGGTGCCCGGTGGAGCGGCGTATCAAGCTGGTTTAATGAAAGGTATATTGGGTTTGAAAAAAATATATGTGACCTACAGTATACCACGGTCATTGTTGGTAACTAATCAGTTAGTCAATAAGTAAGTGAGTCGGCTGGTCAATCGGTTGGTCGGTTAATCAGTCGGCCTGTTGGTCGGTGAGTCTGTGAATCAGTCGATTTGTTGGTACATCAGACGGTCTGTTGGTCGGTGAATCATTGGTTGTTCGGTACATCAGACGGTCTCTTGGTCTGTGAATCAGTCGGTTTGTTGGTCGGTGAATCATTGGTTGTTCGGTACATCAGACGGTCTGTTGGTCTGTGAATCAGTCGGTTTGTTGGTACATCAGACGGTCTGTTGGTCGGTGAATCATTGGTTGTTCGGTACATCAGACGGTCTCTTGGTCTGTGAATCAGTCGGTTTGTTGGTCGGTGAATCATTGGTTGTTCGGTACATCAGACGGTCTGTTGGTCTGTGAATCAGTCGGTTTGTTGGTACATCAGACGGTCTGTTGGTCGGTGAATCATTGGTTGTTCGGTACATCAGACGGTCTCTTGGTCTGTGAATCAGTCGGCTTGTTGGTCGGTGAATCAGTCGGCTGGTCGGCCAGTTGGACGGTCATTCAGTCAGTCAATCAGTAAGAACACTTTTTGATTTAGACGTTGGATGGAAAGCTAACATTAAACCTAAAAGTGTGAGATTATAACCATACCTACCTATTAAGCCCATTTTCCAGCAGGCGAATTTTTTCGCGCGAACAGTAAAAAAGTAGGAACTGATCCATCTTTTTCCCGGCGAATTTTTCGCTGACCAATCACATTGCCAAGAAATATTTGTGCTTCGCTTTGCGCGAACAAATTCGCCAAGTGGAAAATGGGCTTAAATCTTGTCATGTTTTCTTTGTGTAGGTGCCGAGGTGATCAGTTTAAACAATTCGGCTGTCTATGGAAAACACGCGTCAGATATTGACAATCTAATACAACACAGGTAAACTTTGTATTTTTTTAATAATATTACTCACTCTACTATATATACAAAATAAACAGGTGGATCTTCCAACCAGACGTGCTCGCATTGTTAATAATTGTCACGCAGTTATTCAGCTACCATTCCAACGCTCGCAGAGACACCCGCCACCCTAACCCCCCACTGGGCAACCCCTTTGACCCCTCGCTAAAGAGAAAATTGCCATCTTGAGAATTGACCATTTGCGTAATAGACTAAATTTTGATCTAAACAAGTCTAGACAAAAATTTCATGACAGCTTGAAAGAGCATCACAAAATTAGTAATATTCCAAAGTTTCGTTGTGAAATGTTGTAAAATGCAGATAATATAGCCTTGCGAAGTTTGCAATTTTCAGTCATTTTAGATTACAACGGGAAATTGACAGCCTCGAAGGGTTTGAGGCTGTCAATTTCCGGTTTGTAATCTAAAATGACTGAAAATTGCAAACTTCGCAAGGCTATATTTTCCGCATTTTACAACATTTCGCAACGAAACTTTGGAATATTACTAATTTTGTGATGCTCTTTCAAGCTGTGATGAAATTTTTGTTGAGATCAAAATTTAGTCTATTACGCAAAAGGTCAATTGTATATATGAATTAAACGAATTTTTGAGATTGAAATATTCTTATAATTTATATACTGAACTCTCAAAATTGTATTTCCCGTAGGAGTATTTTTCTATATTTTTTGCATACTTGATGTTTTTTTTATTTTGAGATATTCTATTGTTTAGTAACGCGATTGATGTGGATGTAGTAGAGGATCCTGCTAAAAGAAAGGTATGTTTTACATTTTTACTGTTTTCATGTACCACCTTACTTTTTTTGCTTAAAGTTGTGCAGTATGTTGTATATAATAATGAATGAATTGACTTGAATCTGCAATCCAACTTAAGTACATGAGATGTGTTTCACTGAACCTTGTTTTGTCATAACTTGATTTTATTTTTTGGAGAAACTTTAAAACCTGGAGTGGAAATGTTGTTGCAAAACAATATCTCCCAGACAGTGTTAATTGTTGTGTGAAACATTATACATTAAATGTATAATGTTAAACATTATACATTTAATGCTCCCAAGGGAAATAATTAGTTTTGTTTTCCGAGATCGACGAAGACGAGGGAAACATTGGGATTCGAGGGAAAACGAAACAAACTCTATCCTGTGCATTAAGTGTTTTGTTATATAGTGACGAAGAAAAAGTAAACAACATTCACACAACAACTATATTTCATGAACTCTTTAATCTAAATAAATGATTTCAACAATAAAAGAACCTGTTAAAAGCGTTTCAGGCTCAGTATTTCATGTTGCCTGTTGAGTATTTTTCTTCTCTGTTAGATTCTATATTTTTTTTCTTAAGCTAGAAAACTTTCTTTCTAAACTTTCGACTCCATTTTGAGCATTTATATACGTAGCCGGTCAGAGAGGGCAACAATTTTTCAGTTGTTACCCGGCAGGATACATTTCATTTATCTAAGTCCACGTGACCAGAAATCAGCCAATCACTTTTAGTTTGAGCACTAGTTCTATAACAATAGCCTTTGGAAGCCGTCAGTGGTCATGTTTCGACAAAATTTACCAATCAGGGGATGGTTTCTAACAGAAACGACGAAGAAAATGATGAAAGGAAAAAACAGTTGTTCGTTAGGAAACAATTTTACATTAGGGACTATTTTGTTTCCCGCGGTGTACGTTTGGGCATGTAGTAAAACACTGACTACCGGAACACCGGAACACCGCCGGAACACCACCGGAACACCACCTAACCCTAACCCCAACCCTAACCCCCAATCCTAACCCTAACCCCAACCCTAACCCCCAATCCTAATCCTAACCCCAAACCCTAACCCTAACCAAAATGGTGGTGTTCCGGTGGTGTTCCGGTGGTGTTCCGGTGGTGTTCCGGTGGTGTTCCGGTGTTCCGGTAGTCAGTGTTTTACTACATGCCGTACGTTTGTTTACTTTCCTCAATACGGCTTTTTGCATGCACTGTAGCAATCAACAAGCATTGCGACAATTGGAACCATCAAATGCTTTGATCATGTCAATCACACCCATATGCCATTAACATACTCTTCTGGAGCTGGAAAGAGCGACAGCTTGGCGAAAACGAGGCTCAGTATAGCATAAGGTCTTTCTAGTGCTTGGCAAGGATATTTTATATCTTATTGGATTCTTCTGAGCCCAATATGGCAAAATATTAAGTCGAGACTTCAATATTGGGCGAGACCGAAGGTTGAGCCTAATGTTGAAGTCGAGACTTAATATTTTGCCATATTGGGCGAAGATGAATCAAATAGGAGTTTTATTATATCGAACAAAACAATTCTATAACAAAAATTGTCAATAAGCGATAAAGTAAATACAGCGAGACTAATACAGCGACAACATTACTACATATATCGGCGGCGAATTTGCTTAAATAACTAAAAAAATGGTTAATATTAACGAAAAAAATAATATTACTAACTTCTAGGCTGTTGCAAACAAGTAAATTTTGCGACGACAAGTTTTCCCGCGCTTTTATAATTTTAAATAAAACTGGTAGAAAAAACTGTATTAATGTCCCAAATTCTTTTCATTATTCTGCCATATCGTTTGTCGTATGTTTGAAATTGACAAAACATCTGAAAAGGGTTGAAAAACCATGAAAAAAGCCACAATTCGCAACTGTCCAATAGGTTCCTGTCCAATATCGTAAAATATTGGATCGGCACGTGACCCTCGCAACGATTACTGATTGGTTAAGTGCGCGTGAGTGTATAATAAAATAGCTTATTGGTCAGAGTACTGCAGCAGAATCGCATGGCTGCAGGTTCCATTCCTGCCGGAGGGTTGCCGGAGGGCCTATATTTTTCGCAATAAACGTTTATTTTATTGTACTGTATCTCTAATATATATATTTTGTTTAGGGCAAACAGTACCAAAGATACAGAGGAAATGGCTATGAAGTACATGTAGTACATCGAGGTAGTCAAGATGATCTTAGTGATCACGAATCCTCAGATAATGACACTCATTCAACAAACGCAGGAGATCGATATTTTGTTGTTACATATGGCACATCTTCAGAAACCACTGGTCATAAATCCAGGATACATCAATTTTTACGACCAACATCGTACTCTGATGATGAACCACTAATGGAAAATAAATCTGTGTCTATTTCTGGGACAAAATCAGAAGATTTGACGGGAAAAACACAAAGTAATCGTTATTTTGATGACCAAGGTGGCGCGTCCGGTAGAGGGAATAAAATTTCTGGTAAAAGATCTGGACTGACAAGCACAACGTCAAGTTCAGTGCTTGTTGAGAGTCAAAATCCAAAACCTGATACACATGTCACTATAACTACTGCTACATACAGTACCTTGGCTGAACCGCAATCCACAAGAACTGACGTCAGCGCTGCGAAAAAAGAGGATTGTTCATGTAGTAATGGATTATTAGTGTCTGAAGAGAATGGTAATGTATGGGAACTAAGAGTACCTCAAGCTATCCATATTCGTCCACGATCACCCAGTCCAGCTCACAGAAGGGTCTCATACTTGATGGCAACTGAAGGTGATGGATCGTTATCGTCAGGAAATTGGGAATTCAGGTCGGTTGCTAATGGAGATACTACTGATGATGCTTT